GGTCATTTGGCCAGCATGACTGCATGGAGTGCCGTTACCTTTCTGTAGAAGTGGGGAAACTATAGAATATGCATGGGGAACACATGCCTTAACAACATGTAGATGTGAACTAGGAGTCTTAAAAGACCGCAAACTGAAAAGGAGCCAAGAGTGTAATGTGGCAACAAAAAGACTGAGGGAAACCTTAATCCTCCCCTCTTCTTCTGCTTTATCCAGTCCTTTTTACCTGGAATCAACCTGGGTCCAGTTATGGGTACCCCAAACTGGAAGGTGTCCAGAGGAGAGCCACCAAAAGGGTCAAAAGTCTTTAGATTATGAATCCCACTGAAGAACAGCTTAGGGAATTGGGGATGTCTAGTTTGGAGGAAAGTAGGTTGCCCCCTGATGGTGCAGCAGGAATCTGGGGAGCGGGGTGAGCTCCCACTGTTAGCCCCAGCTTCAGCCAGCCTAGCAGTTCGAAAACATACAAATGTGAGTAGATCAAAGTACCACTTCTACAGAAAGGTAACGGCACTCCATGCAGTCATGCTGGCCAAATGACCTTGGAGGTATCAACGGACAACAGCGACTCTTTGACTTAGAAATGGAGATGAGCACCACCCCACAGATTCGGACATGACTAGACTTAATGTCAGGGGAAACCTTTACCTTTACTAGGCTGAAAGAAGGGAACATGAAAGCCATGTTTAAATGCTTGGAAGGAGGACCCATTTTAGAGGGAGGAGCTAGCTGGTTTTATACTACTCTGGATACTAGAATATGGAGCCATGCATTCCAACTGCAGCAAAAGCGATTCCACCTCAACCTGATGGCAAGAGCTGTTCAATAATGGAATAAGCTTTTACCTTGGAGTCCTGTGCAGTCTCCTTTGCTGGAAGTCCTGACACAGGCTGGATGGCCATCTGTCAGGAGGGCTTGGATTATTTCTTTCTTTTATGGCCAAAGAAAGTTGGACTGGATGGCCCTGGGGGGTTCTCTTTCAACTCGGAGTCTATGAAAGAGAGCAGACCCTTCAGCTGTCCCTCAAGTGACCCTGGCTTTCTTCTTGTCTCTTCGGCCCCACAGTCCCCAAGGACCCTCTTGACCCGGAGCTCCTGGCAAATGTCCTGTGTGGCCTGGCCTTTGGCCTGGGCTTCCTCTTCTCCATAGCAGGAGCTGTCCTCACCTTCATGGCCCTCCGGCTCAGGAATGCAGGTGAGAGCAGGTGCTAGGGTGGGGTCTCCCTTCCTAAAGGGGAGATGGGCTGGACAGGCTTTGGGGATCCCTTCCAACTCTGGTTGCATACACACAGCCTTGGAGCCTGGGGGAGTCTCATTCTCTAGAGGCTTTGAAACAGAGGCTGGCTGGGAATCTGTCGGGAGTGATTTAGTCTTCTCCCCCTGCATGCAGAAAAGGGGTTGAATGACCTTTGGAGGTTCCTTCCAACTCTAGTGGAATATAGACTGCCCTGTACTCTGGGGAGCCTCCTTTCCTAGAGGTTTTGAATCAGAGGCTGGATGGGCATCTGTCGGGAGGGATCGGATGATGGAAGAAGGGGATCAAATTGGATGGCCTTTGGGGCTCCCTTCCAACTCTAGTGGAGTATAGACTGCCTTGGAATCTGGTAGAACCTACTTGGAAATTGTTATTATAACTCAAGGAGGATTCAAAGTTTGCTCCACGCCCCAATATTTGTTAATTCTGTCACATTAAATTTAATGTAGTTTGACATTCATGCAAATAGGCTTTCACTTTCACTATTGTTAACATCCAAAATAGGTTCCTTATTTGACGAGTGTACTACACATACTGAAAGACACTTTTGAGAACTTAGTTTGCTTCTGAAGCCACGATATGGTAATTAAATCATAGATTCAAACTTATATAATTATTCATGACTTCTTAAAAAATTCTTTTATTTTAAATAATTTTAAATAATAAATACAGACTGCACAGGCTGCGACTTCATGCTCTGTTGCCATTGCCCTTTCCAACTCTATGCATTTTAGCCTATATGGCTTCCTACCTGGCCAGCAATCCCTACTGAAAACCCACTTTTTCTGGACACCATTCACAAAGCTATGACAGAACGACCACCAAATCTCAGGGCCTGGCTTCCAATTTGGGCCAGAGACAATGATAGAATTATAGAAGGGGCCCCCAAAGGCCAATCCAATTCTGCCATACAAGAAGACACCATCCAAGCTCTCCTGACAGATATCCATCCAGCCTTTGTTTCAAAAACTAGAGAAAGAGGCACCCCGGGGGTCATCCAGTCCAACCTCCTTCTTGCATAAAGGAAGACACAATCCAAACCCTCTCAACAGATGGCCATCCAGCCTCTGCTTAAAATCCTCCAGAGAAAGAAGGAGACTGTACTGGAATTCTGGGCAAAAACATATTCCACATTTAAAGGGGCAGGGGATCTTAATGACAACTCTCATCATCCCGTTTACCCATAACTCTTTTGTTCCATCTCTTCCTCAGAGTGATCTCCTCTGCAGCAAGGAGGAGCCTGCCTGCAGCAAGACAAAGCACCTGCCAAAGACAAGTGGCCTCATTCCCTTCTGCCCCCCCTAACTCTAACCCTTTCTGCCCCTCCGGAAAGGCCTCCAGATGATGGGAACTCCACTCCAGAATGAATGCAGCATGACCCTGCTTTCACTGCTGCAGCTCAGTGGATCCTGGGAGCTACAGTTTGTCAGACAAGGTCCAAAACCTCATACTACTACTACAACTCCCAAGATTCCCTGACATGGAGCCATAGCGGTTCAAGGGGAGGCAGGATAAGGGGACTCCAAAAGAGTCTAAAGGGGCCTTCCCAACACAGCTCTTCTGAGGTGCATTTTAACTGAGACTCCCATCATCCCCAGCCAATGGGGGGCATGTGTGAGAATCATGGGAGTTGTAGTTAGGACTTCATCCCATTCTTGTATATGCCCTGAATCCTCAGGGAATCCCCGTCATTACTGTAAAGTTGAGAGACCAAACTGGTCTCAATCACAATTGATTCAAAGGGCTTAACCTCTATCTTGCAGCCATTAGATGTACCTGCGAACAAGCCCTTGTGCCATTTCTGTGATGAGTGGTGATCACTAATTGACAGCAGTGGAAAAGTGAAGCGCCCATCCTTAGAACCGATGTGAACATGGGCTATTAAGAGTTGGGACCTGATCACAGAGGACAATGTTGTGAAAAGCTTTTTGAAAACTGGCATTTCTAATGCATTGGATGGATCAGAATATGATGCATGGTGGGAGAGTGATGGGGAGGGGAAAACATCCCACATGAACAGTACTGAGGCTCGAACATCACGTTATGAAAGCAGTGAGAGTGGCACAGAGACTTCCAACGAGGAAATCTGAAATGTTTAAGTACATCTGTACAATTTTGATAGACCAGAATTAACAGTTAGGGAGGGTGCAAGCTATAACAATTCCTTAAGTTTGTAGTAATAATTTCCAAAGTGCTGGAGCCCTTTCCCAAACTTTATGTATCAATAAAAATGTAACTTTTTGAAGTTCTGGTTTTTTAATCCCTGGGGCAGGCATATTATAGGAGGAGACATCCTACTGTACAGCTTTTTCCATGGAGAAAAGGTAACATCCATGCCCCTGGAGGAATTAATCCATTGGTTTGTGGCTCTGGTTTCCTAATAAATCCCCCACAAGGTATGCAGCAAACTGATGAAGGCAAATCCATACAATAACACGGGTTTCCCCCATTCCATGCAGCTCTCACCAGGCCGTGTTGTGTTTCCCAGTGCCTCCGCAAATCCACCTTTTCTGGAAGCCTTTGCTAAGCAGATCACAGCCAAATGACTTGAAGCTGGCATGTTTCCAACTGGGGATGATGAAGTCAGATCTCTGGAAGAAAGCTCTGCTTGTGGGGCTTCTCACCTGAGGATAACCATAAAAAGGACATCACATGACACAAGAAAGGTTTACCAGCAAACCTGCCTGAATTGTAGCAACTATATGGGAGCTGTAGTTCAAAACATCAGGAGGGCATTAATTTAAGGAAGGATGAATGGTCAGAACATGTTTTTGTCACCTCACTCCCTTGAACACTGCTACAATGTTTACCAGTGAAACATATAACACACTCTACTTGGAGATCATCCCAACAGAAGAAGTCATTAATCAAATGGAAGTGATGCCTTTTTATAACCAGAAACAGGAAAGGAACATAAGGATGCTTAGGAGACCTCAAGAATTCAGGACTCACCTGTATAGCTGAATGGGTGTTCCTTCATGTCTATCAAAAGAGAGCCAATTCAATGTTACATTAAACACATGGTTTGCCTTTTGAGTGCAAGAATTTATGTTCACAGAATAGGGCCATAGTCCATCCAAAAATTAATGTATTTCATTACACAATAGTCAGGGCAATCCTACAGCTTGATTGATGTGAAGTCCATATCTGATAACTGATTATCCTACACGGCCAACAAGGGATCGCCTAACATCTGATAATTTTCTGCCATGGAAATCAATAGTCCCACTTAACAGTGCATGCTATGGTAGAAGGGTATCCTACCCCTTTCTGAAAGGATGCTGAGCAAAACCTTATTTGCAGCCCAGCTCATAGAAACTCATTCACTGATGGTACTGTGAGGCCCTTGTGAAGCACAGAACTGCCTTGTATTAAGCCACTCCATTTGTGAGTAGCAAGGGGATTGTGGCCCCTAGCAGTGTTTTAGTGGATTTAGCTGGGATGATGCAGTTAGATTGTCTGTGCTTTTCTACACTATTTTCCCTACTTGTCCTTGGCTTTAATGCAGTTGTATTGCCACAGCTGCAGCACATCTTTCCTGCAAATGACAATTCACATATAGCCTGCTTAACATTCTGTGGATTATGCCCTTTCGGCTACAGTCCTATTTTAAGATTAGTTGAAACCTCCTCTGCTCTAGCCATATCAATCAGTCTTTTGATATTCCTTTCATGGATCAAAATAGGAGTACATGTGTATTTGGGATTTTTTGTTAAGAAAATTGGGTATTTTCTCCCCCAAAATACATATTCAAAATATTCCCAGCTATGTAAATCTTGTAATAGTTGCATATTTATTTACTTAATAAATACCATGCTTTTCTAATGACATTCTGCATGTTTGGGTATATGTCATGCTTTCAAGATGCCTGTTTTCTTGGGTATGGACACACAGATGTCTTTTCTCTGAAGTAAATCCCACGGCACCAAGTCTTCCTTGACAGTCCTCCATTCAAGTATTAACTGGGCTGCTTAGCTTCCAATATCAGGCAGGATCTGGTGTCTTCAAGGTATATTTATTATGATATTCAACTTACTCCTTAAGAACTAATCTATTACTGTCCAGAAGTTTCTGTCCCACAGAAAGGCCACAAGATGGCACTATATGCTAAAAGCATCTCTCTTCACCCAGATAAGAGTAATGGCAAAAACAACCCCTATATATTTCTATAAAAATATGCAGACTACTTCAACAGAAAAGTCAGCCATAGCAGAGCACCTGATGAACCAAGCTGGACACAGCATATTATTTGAGAACACAGAAATGCTGGACCACTCTAACAATCACCATGTCAGACTATACAGAGAAGCCACTGAAATCCCCGAGCATGTGGACAATTTCAACAGAAAATGCTGACCATTTTCGCTACCTTGGCAGCCACCTCTCTACCAAAGTCAACATCGACACCGAAATACAACACCGCCTGAGCTCTGCGAACGCAGCATTTTTCCGAATGAAGCAGAGAGTGTTTGAGGACCAGGACATTAGTAGGGAGACCAAGGTGCTTGTTTATAAAACTATTGTCCTCCCAACCCTGCTATATGCCTGCGAAACATGGACTGTCTACAGACGTCACATGCAACTCCTGGAACGATTCCATCAGTGATGCCTCCAGACAATCTTGCAAATCTCTTAGGAAGACAGGTGGACAAACGTCAGCATGCTGGAAGAAGCAAAGACCACCAGCATTGAAGTGATGGTCCTCTGCCATCAACTCCACTGGACCGGCCATGTTGTCTGGATGCCCGATCACCGTCTCCCAAAGCAGTTGCTGTACTCCGAACTCAAGAACGGAAAACGGAATGTTGACGAGCAGGAAAAGAGATTGAAAGATGGGCTCAAAGCCAACCTTAAAAACTCTGGCATAGACACTGAGAACTGGGAAGCTCTGGCCTTTGATCACTCCAGCTAGAGGTCAGCTGTGACCAGCAGTGCTGCAGAATTTGAAGAGGCACGAATGGAGGGTGAAAGAGAGAAACGTGCCAAGAGGAAGGCATGTCAAGCCAACCCCAACCGAGACCGCCTTCCATCTGGAAACCAATGCCCTCACTGTGGAAGAAGATACAGATCAAGAATAGGGCTCCACGGCCACCTACAGACTCACAAGACCTCTGATCCTTGAAGACTATCCTACTCGGCCAATGAGGGATCACCTAAGTAAAGTAAGTAAATTTCAACAGAAAGGAGGAAACCATGAAAATGAACAAAATCTGACTACCAGTATTTAAAAAACAGTAAATAAAGAACAACACTCAGAAAACTGGGGAATTCCAGAAATGAAACAATCAACATCAGCTAACACCTCCCAACAAAAGATTCCCCCAGGCAGGAAGCAGCCAGGTTTTGAAGCTGCAAGGCCATTCAATGCTAAGCAAGGTGGCCTATTGCAACAAACCTGCCTCAAACAGACAAGAGTTCATTCTCCCATCCTGGACAGTCCACAGATATATAAACCCCACTTGCCTAGTTTTCAACAGATCCCTCAACCTCTGAAGATGCCTGTCATAGTTGTGGGTGAAAAGTCAGGAGAGAATGCTTCTGAAACATGACCATGCAGCCTGGAAAACTCACAGCAACCCAACTATATATTTCTTTTGTTTCTATCCTACTCTTCTGCCAAGAAACTCGGGATAATACTTGTTTTCACAATGACTAGATCAAAATACTTTTTTGCCTAAGGGAAAAGAAGAAATATCACCACCACCCCTTGCCTGACATGTTACCTTGGCACTGAAAGAAGAAAGTGTACCTCAAAATGAGTGTCTCCTTTTCTTCATGCCCTTCCCACAGCAGTAATTCTTAATTGATTTAGAATTGTCTGTTTGTTGATGAAATACAGCATCAGATCTTTGAGGCTGTTACCTCATTTTGCCTAATTGTACCATCTTTACTAGCAACATAACGCAAGCCTTTTGTTGAAGGGCAAGATGGCAACCTCTTCTACCATTCCAGGTAGAAAAGTTGAATAAATTGGCAGCTAAGTCTTATTCAGCAGCTGCTAACAGAGCTGCAACCACTACATCTGAAGAAACAGGTTAGCCTAAAAAAATATAGGAACTGTACAAAGTGCTGTACAGTTATCCGGCACTTTGTCACCCATCTATCAGCATCTCTATCACCTATTTATTTATTTTTATTTACAGTATTTATATCCCACACTTCTTACCCTGAAGGGGACTCAAGAGTGGTTTACAGAATACACACATATGACAAACATTCAATGCCAATTATACAATTTATACAATTATAAACTTAACAAGGGTAGACACAGTCAGAGGTAAAGGCAGTTGTTCCCAACTTATTTCTGGCATCTTGGAGGCTGTGCTTAACTCTGACCATGGGAGGGGAGGTGGAAGGGGGAGAGTTGTTGCGCCATCTTCCATGCTGAGGAGCTTTCCTCTGATCGATCAATATCCTTAAGGGTGCCTTTATTACATCTCTGCTAAAAGCAGTACCTATTTATTCACATTTCTGCTTTCGACCTGCTAGGTGGGCAGGTGAGCTGGGGTTAAGGGTGGGTGCTCATCCCGACCCAGGATTGAACTGTTGACCTTTCCATTGGCAGGATTTCTCTGCAGCACAGCGGTTTAGCCTGCTGTGCTAAGCCTACCTAAAGCATCTACTTATTAGAACTAATAGAATAAAATGTCCCATTCTGGTCTACTTTCGCAAACTTACCCCAAGTATTGTGATATTTATACCCTCCATTTCCTGTCTTTCAATGTATAGCTTCCACTGATTTATATTTGTCACATTCTTTGTTTCTATAATATGGTATGCGCAACTTCAGGCTTTTCTTTCACCACTGACCCCTTCGACAGTTGAATATCTTTCGGATTGAGTTTAGTTGCATCAAGAGCCACTGTGCTAATGTAGATTCATACAGACTCATGCACACTGATTTAATTAAGCGCTGTTCAACGGTGGAACTCACTGCCTCAGAGTGTAGTAGAGACTTCTTCTCTGGCTAGAGGTACTTTGATTGTGCTTTTCCTGTATGGCAGGTTGTTGGACTGGAGGGCCCACGTGGTCTCTTCCAACTCTATGAATCAATTATTTCTGCTACGTGCTGTGTAAAGATCCCTTAACTTGCCAGCCAGGGTGGCAGGGCCAGGAAAAGTCAGGCTAGGTAGTTTAGCTTGGAAGGCCTGGCAGAGTGCTGCTGGAGCCATTTTAGAGCAGGGAAAAGCTCCAGGGCAGAAGGGGGAGTGGCTGAGGCCTGTGCCAGCCCAGCAACAGCT